ATTCCTTATGGAGATTGAAGCAAAGAAAAATAAGAGTTCTAATGTCTGTGAAAAATTCACATAATATCCCTATTCTTCCTGTTCAGATAACTCTTCGTTCCGGTATGAGCTTATCTGCTATCATTGAGTAAACAACTCTTTGACAATAGCATTTGCTTTGCTAAGCGTAGTTATCAAATCAGGCAACAGAGACGGCTTATTACAAATTTTACGTACTGCTCATACAGCAAGGAAGTTCTCATCTACTTTCTTACTGCTTTTGCTACTGTAACATCACAAACTCAGCTGTGACAGACCGCGCTCCAGCGCCAATTTCTTGCTCCAAAACCGTTGCGCTGCAAATCTATAGAAAAGCGTAAACAATCGTAAAATAGTTTACTACTGCGTTGTCATTCCCACATCACGATGATTTCCTGCAGTACTTAATAGTCAGCCTTTTTTCCTACATTCTTACATCTTTTCAGAGCATGCGGCAGGACCTATGGGTGATTATTCAGCTAGGATTTGCTTTTTTCACTGTATTTTCCGCTTTCAATTCGCAGGGTTTCGTTGAAGTAAGTCTTTGATCTTTTCCACTAGCTCGTAAACCACCCACATATGTTTCTGCAGATTTCTGTGCTGAGAGGGGTATCTCAACATGACCCATCGTCTGGAATCACTCAGAACAGCGGCTACTACAGGTGAATCTTACTTCTGAAAACTTTTTTTCCTGTCTCAGCTTCTCTTATAACTATTGTTTCAGCCTTGCCATCATTTATTTCGTTTTCACAGTTTGCAATCTGATTGCTCCCCCTATAATCAGCGTACTGGGCGCTAAATGGGCACAGGTGACGTTTTACCTTGTAGAACATTCAACACCTTCTCACATTGTATTCGAGTCCAATATAATTTCATTCTTGATTTCCAGGTTTTGGGAGCCGCTTGCTATACTTCTTTTATGATAATGTTTCTGTTTGTGAATTCGTGGCTTTTGTATGTTTTCTCAGCTGTGCTGGGTTTTGGCGCTGCAGGTAAGAACAGGGATTATGCTAATCCATACTGAACTTCCTTCTTTTTCTTTTAGTGATTTGGACTGCAAACGGGGCATATCTGGTGCAGTTTTCAAGGGATGGTAAAATGGGTAGAAACAGTGGAATTCTTTGGGCTATGCTTCAAACATCTCTCGTAGCTGGAGCTATCTTCCTTTTCTTCGTGCTTAGCTATGGGTAATCTATAGAACATTCCATTTCTGAGCTATCCTGTGTAAATTTTGTACTTACAGCGACCTTTACTCTTCATATCGCTTTCTCTACTCTGCATTTGCTGTAGTTTCTTGCGTCGGCATCATCACTCTATGCCTTCTTCCTTCTACTCCACCACTAAATTGTAAGCTTTAGTAGGCCTCCAAAAAATTTTGGATTCTGCATGCGAATTTGGTGAAATTCACATCGTCTCCTTAATTTTTTGTTGATATTTTTATAGTAGACGAAAGTCTGGAAGATCCGCTTTTTGATGACACTACTGACGAGCTGGATGTTGTTTCAGCTCCTGTCGTTCCTCAACTAACAAGAAGCTGGCAGGAGGAATTCAGTGGGCTTGTATTTTCACTTAGTAACCTATATCATCTAACAATCCTATTTAAGAGCACACTTTCTCTCTCTTGCGAACTAAAGACATGATGCTGTTATCAATTTGCTTTTTGTACAGTGGCATTGAAATCACATATTATACTGGTACGTTCCATTATCTAGAATTCAAAGAATTATTTTTCGTACGTGAGGCCGAGATTTATTTGAGAAGAATTTGCCGAAGCAGTGCTCCAATCGAGCTATTCATCATTTTTCCTCCTTTTATTGCTTTTGACAAACTCAGTCATTTTTGATAGAATAACAAAAAGTGTTTTTGCTGTTATTAGTAGCTAGTGACAAAAGGCAAATTTTGTAGGAGTGTACACTGCTTGCCTATCAGCTGCAACTGCTCTAAATATGGGGTCAGAAAGAATTATCTCATACGCGGTGTTGGCTATGGGCGCTGGACAAATCAGTGGTAGGCATACTTTCTTGTATAGATTCAAGATTGTTTCCTCTTATTTTTTATTACTAAACATCTTATATGTGGTTTTTTATAATAGTTAATGTTTTTAGGTGGACTTTGCTTTGGCGTATTCCCAAAAAGTAACTCACTTAATCGATCACAAATTGTCATTCTTGGTATGATCCTGCACATTCTCGCGTTCTTCCTAAGCTTTCTCAACTTGCCTATGGAAGCTCCGCTGCATAAAACCTCTTCTATTGGGTACATTGAACCAAGGTTTGCCATCTCTATCCCATTTACAGGATCTTAGATTCTTTTGTTGAATTTTTTTTTGTTGTATCTGTTTATCTTCATAGCTATACTATTGGAAGATAGCTAAATAAGATTAACTATTAAGAACATGGATCTTTAATCCTCCTGTCATACAGCGGTCTTTTGCGACTTACTGTCTAGATTTCTTTATGGAGACAACTTCGTGTTTTGCTTGCCTTTCCAATCGACACTTTCAGCATCTTCATTGCTATTTTGACGGCATACTTTCTTGGATTGGGTGATTCTTGCTGGAATACTCAGATTTATACTCTCATCGGAGCTACATATAAGAACGAGTCTTCCTGTGCTTTTGCTTTGTTCAAATTCTTCCAGGTACGTAATTTTCTTGATTTGTGCAAATGTAAAATTTTCTCAAAAAGAACCTGAATTATCTAAGATTAAAATTTTTAGTCGCTAGCTGCTTGTGCTTCATTCTACTACAGCTCAGTACTTCTTCTACACTGGCAGTTGTTGGTTCTCTGTCTTAGCTCTGCCATTGCTGCTGTCTGCTTTTTCTCGGTCGCAAATAAAGCTGAGACCCCAGATGTCATTGAATGATCTTTTGTACATATTAGAGGTTTCGCACGATGATGCAGTACAGGTCTTGTCAATATCTCCAAGGTTGTCGCATTTTTCCCTTCTCAAAGTCCAGATTTTCTGACCAAAATCAATCAGAATATTACCAATCTCAAACCATCTACAGAGCATATTATTTGTTGTTTGTGCAGGTGTGTTCTGCCTTAAACTATGAACTATGTATGTTATTTATTAGGAAAGCGGTGCGTTGCTTTTCATTGATGGGTTCTTCCAACTACTGATAGCTTTTTTGTCTTAAATATCTTTTTTTTTTCAAACTTCTGTGATGTTTTGGCCCCGGTAGCAAAATAAACATTTT